CCGCCAGTTATATAAACCATTTGAGACAAATCTTGGCTGAAGAGCAAACGTATCCCAACTCTTCTGTCCATCCCTTCAATTTAGTGAGTATTTTAACAATTCTTTTGTATTTATAATTTGCATTATAGTTATAATTTATAACTCATACACTATCATGATCTCTATAACAGTAATTTTAATTGCAAAAATTTACGTACATTGTACTGTATTTCTTAATTACTTATTTTATGTCATGTGTTGAAAAGTTAAATATAATGTTCTTACATGTGTTGTAATCTCGTTTAAATGCTCAATACTTTACTTTAATCAAGTTTTTATATTTGTTTTTAAATTAGTGTATAGTTCTAAATCTTATTTCATCAAATTGCAAGAAGCAGCTTTTTAAAATAAACTTCAAATAATGTTTCTTGTGTTGAGACGAGAATAATGATTACAATGTAATTAATGCATAGTATTAGTTATGATTTGATTTAATATATTACTGAAATATTGAAATAGCATAATTAAAAGATAAATGTTAATATCAATATTACAGTTATTTTTAAAAAATTAATTAAAAAATTTGATGTTTGTAAGTTTTATATTTGTTTTGAAAGTTTATGATTGTTAAATTATTGATATATACAAATGTATAATTTGTATGGTTGTTATAATAGGACAATACATTTTATCTAAAAAATTATGCAAAACTTAATTTCTTACAATTCAATGAAATATTCAGTTAAATTAGAGTAGAGAGCATTTGTATCATTAAATTCAATAAAACATTCAATTCTTATCCTAAATCTTACAAATATGAACATAATTATTGAGTATTGACGAGATCATTTTAATTTGAAAGGCTTCTTTAAAAATGCAATTATGATCATGATGATTTATTGAACAAATTGTTAACTGCCAGTGAAATACAATATAGTATAGTCGTTGACCGCCTGTTGAGTGCTATACTGGCAAAAGCAGCGCTTAATATACAGAATTCCTATATAAGTCCTATACTGTAGAGGACTATAGAGTCTACGAACAGATGTAATGTTTGAAGAATTTTGTGTCATAAAGAGATATAGGGTTTAGTTTAGGGAACAGACAAACAGACAGTTTGTTTTAAACACTAGACTAATGTATATATAAATATGTGAATATTTATCTCATATAATGGTTGGTTTGTTTGCAGACCTGGCCCTTCACTTTCCATAGCAAACCATCTAATACTGAAGACACGGAACAGATATCTTCCGTTTCATTTCCATATATACATCACTGCTCACAATACTATCCAACCGAACGACCCCTTCCTCCCCATCCCTTCAAAACATCGACAGACAATCATTTGTATCAATCATTTGATTCTGAAATCATTGAATCTCAAGATTATTGTTAGCTTTTATTTATTTATTATAACATTATATAAATAGAATAATTGTTGTATTTATTTCATCACACAATTTAATATAAACATTTAATTTATATGATTTACATTTATAAACATGCATTTAATAACTAGAAAGCAATTTTTATCATAAGCAATATTAATAAATATTACTTAAAGCATATAATAATTATATATAGTTATTAATATTTGATTAATAAATTATTATAATTTTAATTAAAAATAAAAAATAGTGCGAAAAATAATAATTCTGTTTAATATAAATTCTAATACAATTTAAAATAAATTCATTACAACTTTAAAAATGATGTAAAGTAGTAAATTAAATTGAAACATACACTGCATACTGTATACAGTGTACAGTATACAGTGTATACTGAATTCATAAAACAATGAATACAATATTCTGTATTATTAATAAAAATTAAAATTATGGTTAGAATTATAAATTATGTTCAATTGTTTTCTCGCGAATAATTCAATCAAAATATTTAAACCAAAATCAAATATTATAATTAAAAAACAAACAGATATTAGACTCAAAATGCAATCCAATACCGAACGACCCCTTCCTCCCCATCCCTTCAAAACATCGACAGACAATCATTTGTATCAATCATTTGATTCTGAAATCATTGAATCTCAAGATTATTGTTAGCTTTTATTTATTTATTATAACATTACATAAATAGATTAATTGTTGTATTTATTTCATCACACAATTTAATATAAACATTTAATTTATATGATTTACATTTATAAACATGCATTTAATAACTACTGTAGAAAGTAATTTTTATCATAAGCAATATTAATATTAAATATTACTTAAAGCATATAATAATTATATATAGTTATTAATATTTGATTAATAAATTATTATTATTTTAATAAAAATAGTGCGAAAAATGATAATTCTGTTTAATATAAATTTTAATATAATTTAAAATAAAATCATTACAACTTTTAAAATGATAGAAAGTAGTAACGTAAACTAGTAAATTAAATTGAAACATACTAAACATGTTAATTAAACAATGAATACAATATTCTGTATTATTAATAAAAATTAAAAATTATAATTATGGTTAGAATTATAAATTATGTTCAATTGTTTTCTCGCGAATAATTCAATCAAAATATTTAAACCAAAATCAAATATTATAATTAAAAAACAAACAGATATTAGACTCAAAATGCAATCCAATTCAAGCGGAATGGATCCCCAGAAGTGGCAATTGTGGCACAATTGGCATTATTATAACCATTATTACAACAATTACAATCATTACACGTATCCATATCAGCAGTGGTTACAACAGTGGCAGCAGTTCCCATACAGACCTCAATTACAGATTAATGGACCGCATGTGAAGACATCGTCCAAAACAATGAGAGGAACCGATAGATTAGATTCACAACAGTTCCCAAAGACTGCTAAACGTGTAAATCAACGAAAACTCAATACAAAACAGACAATAAATGAGAAGCGGAATGAAAGCGAGAAATGCAAATCGGATCGCATTTTGAGTCAAGTGAAGACAACTCCGGCAGACCTTCTCAATGATATTTCATTACTTCTTGGAATCGATTCTGATTTTGTTTACCAAAGAGAACTCAAAAGCAGTTTCGATACAAATAGCGAATTCAATGAAAAGCAAATGAATGAAAGTTTTGATAAAATGCCTTTCGATGAAGAATTGAATTTCAATTATAGATATTTCGATATTTATGACCGAAAAGAATGCACCGATTGGTTGGCAGTAAGCGATCGAAACGGTGACCAAAATGAAAGAAATGAATGCCAAGAATTGTCACCATTTGATGCCTACTCTTCACACGCATAATACGAGTCCATAAGTTGTTTGAAAATGCATTCACTTTATTCTCATTTAGTTTTCTTTTATTAATTAATAATAAAATTGAGTCTTTATATCAAGTAATAAATTATTTCAATTGCAAAATATAAATCATCTCTAAATATAATATTGTAATAAATATTTAGTTGTAATAATAGCGGCCTTTTTTATAACTTACCTTAATATTCCTAAATAGAAATTAATACAGTATATCGTATTAATACAGTATATCGTTATTTAGTTGAAATCATAAGTAAATTTCCCACATTTTCAAAAACTACCGCAAATACAATCAAACTTTTATTCTGTCAAAAACTACTCCATGTTATGAATCAAACCATAATCAATATTAATTGCTATATTGTGAACTAATGATTTAAATAGAAATTAAGTGGCCTAAGTGCTATCTGGTGCAGCTTAATTACTAAAATGGTATCATTATTTAAGTTAACATTCTTAGGCACCAAAAACCAAGTTTTATCAAATTTGCATCAATAGTTAAGACCAGGGACATCCAGGTTACATATTTTTAGTCAATAGGACGTATTGTAATGTTTAATTATGGTAATTCATAGTTTAACTTTGGTTAATAGCTGAAGTTTCATTATTTTTGCTATTAGTAATTGGTTAATATTCACCATACAGTATACACTCGCACATAAAAAGGCGCGATAGGGACATGAGTGGGACATACGGCTGTTGATGGTTAAGACACAGGAATATTTAATACCGGTATAACACCCGTCAAAATAATGTATTCAATTGGGTACCTTTATGAAACTTGGTTTCTGGTGCCTAAGAATTTTATCTTAAATAATACCATTTTAGTAATTAAGCTGCATCAGATGACACTTGTTAGGCCACTTAATTTCCATTTGAACCAATAATTTGTTATGAACCAAATGCATAAAACCGTTTTGTTTACTGTTATAGCATAGGAATTATTGATCACACGATACCAATCGGTTTAATTCATTATTCAAATCATATATTTTTGAAAGATTTTAATTTAAGAATAAAATTTCACAATTAATGCATTGTTTAAAGTAAACACTAAATCATAAATAAAAATGCAAAATAGAATTTTCACAAACATTACAGTTATGTACGAAATAAAAACCAAGTCTTAAGTATTAATTAAAGTCAAAAACAAATTTGATTACAATATCTGATATTAAATAAAATCGATATTAATTGCAATTATAGTTAGAAAATGATTTGAATGAATGATAGTATAGAAAAAGATCGCTTCAAATGTATTGAAGCAATAAATAATGAAAATTAAATCTAACTTTTAATTAATGATTCAAAAGTATGTCAATTGTATTAATATAACCAAACATTAAGATCACGACGAAGTCTTCTTCTCCTTCTCGACGACATCACCTTTAGGTCCAGGCGTTGGGCCAACGGTTTGCGAGTTCGGCGACGAAGACTCACTATATGTACGACACATTCAATCATTAATATCAATGTTAAGGCAATAAAACGCTTTAAATCATACATTTTAGTTGATTCGGACTTTTCATCGCCTGCTTTCAGTGGTTCGGGTTCCGCCACTTCGGCCGGAGTGTCAGCAGTGGTCGGCTTCTTATCAGTCGAGTCGGCGATTGGTTCGTCTTTTTTCTTCAACTCGTCGTTATTCTTGTCTTTTGTCTCATTATTGTTGGCATTTGAAGCCGAAGTGCTGTTCGCTTCCACTTTAGACTTCTTAGCTTTTGGTTTATGAGATCGATTGTCGCGCCGGCCGTCGCCCTCGTCCTCACTGTCGGAGAACTCGTCGTCTCTGGCGATTCGCTTCTCCGACGCTCTGATACTAATGCGTTCGTCGCCGTCCTGTTTGTCCTCGTCTTCGCTCTCCTGATCGATAGCGTCTTCAGGAATCGGTTGCATCTGAACGCCCGGCGCGTGCGGAAGCATTCGTAGGTTTTCAAACAACCGCGTCCTGACATTCAACACATTTATTAATACTTATGTCTAGTTTTAAAACCAATTCAAATACTCACTTAATTTTCTCCAAATATTCGGCGGTGTTTTGATTCGTCATATTTGATGGACTGATGTGTAACTTGAAATCGGGTCCAAAATATTCAAAGTAATCATTATATGGAAGTTCTGTGAGAAATAAAGCAAACAATACGTAAGTAAGCGCTCGACGTTTGGACAGTCATGTAATGAATACCGTTAGCGATGTCGGAATTGAGGGCAACTGCTGTCTCGTGAGTCCAACAACGGGCGACATTACGTATGGTATACCCGCCGCCGCCCACTAATAGTAACGGTGTGTTAAACTTCTTGACGAACTCAACACACTTTCCGTGTCCTTTAAGCGTGAGATTAAAACATCCCAATCGGTCGCCAGACAGCGAGTCAGCGCCACACTGGAGCACAACAGCGCTCGGCTGATACATCTCCATCACCTGCAATGTTATCAATTGGTTAAACATTAAATATATGGCCAATAATTATAAAACAAACCTTTGATATGAGGGGTTGGAAAATGCTTTCGTAGGCGTCGTCGTCGATGCCATCCCTAAGCGGAAAGTTGACGGCATAGTACTTGCCTTTTCCCGCCCCTATGTCTCGCAGATCTCCGGTTCCGGGAAAGTATTCGCCGTATTTGTGGAACGAGACGGTCATCACTCGATCGGTCGTATAGAAGGCCTCTTCGACACCGTCGCCGTGATGTATGTCAATGTCGATGTAGAGCACCCTTTGGTGATACTTCAGGAGCTCCAGAATGGCTAACACAATGTCGTTAACGTAGCAAAAGCCGGACGCCTCGGACTTCTTGGCGTGATGTAGACCTCCCGCCCAATTCACCGCTATCTCCGCCGCCTGTTTGTTCAGTTTGACGGCACCGGCGACCGAACCACCCGTTGACAGCTGACA